AATTCATATACATGTAGGCTAATACTGTCATGAGCACGCTGATATGTGTAAACACTAGTGTGGCTGTTTGTGAAGATCTTTGAATGAAATATAGATACGGGGGAATACATTTTGAAATAGTGTCACACTTGCTGCACTCACCATTGGCCTACATGTACAGTGTATACAAAATACCAAAACTGGTAGGCCTATTGTCCACATTCAAAAATATTGGTTGGTTGAGGGTGACAAAAAGAAAGATGTGCATGATGTCAAATGTAATGGACTCGTATCCTTCTCTTTAATTTGTTAAAAAAAAACCTCGGATTCGTGTAGTGTCAAGGGTTTGCCAATCACAAATGTATGAATCACACAACAGCCTACGAGAAAGACACAAGCTTGGTTGGGAGGAACTCAAACTAACAAACTCCTCAGTGATTTCCAGTGCTAACGACCAGTGTCATTTTTTTCCCAATAGAGAAACATTTCATCCATGTGCATCTTGTACAAATCCAATGCCACACTATGAGCTCTTCTTCAGATTAAAAGCTTTGTATTTAAGACAGATAAAGCTAGGAATTAACAAGTATTTTTTCACAACAAAGAAGAATTTTAATCCTGTTGGTTTACCAAAACTGTAGTATTGTCACAATCAAGGTGCCCATTGCAATTTTCCCACCAGCATAAAAGATACATCCTGTACTTCATAGACCACTAGTTGAGTGATCACCTTCCCCCAAACTACCACTTAGCAGATACTTCACACAGCACACATTCCCTATAAATACAGAATTGGGTACCGGGGATGCGCACTACCAGGACAACCCTCCATCTCATCACCACCCAAGGATGATTCACTACCACTATTTCTCGGAGCCCCCCCCCCCCCTTCCTCTCTCTCTCCCCTTCAAATAATTGGTTCTAATCTAGAGATTGGCAGAGCCAAGATTGTCCACGGTTGATAGATGGAAGATTATTAACTTGGAAGAGGCGGCACTAGTGCCTACTTCCCCGCGTTGAATCAACAGAGTGGAGTATATAGCGATGGTCAATTCTATTTTGTCTCTCCCTTTTTTTTTTCTTGGTCCCGCTGATGTAAATAAACACATGTGGACTTTGAGCAAATGAACTCCATGATTAGAGACTCTTTGTTGCTAGGGGAAGCAGAGTCGATGGCAGTGTCATCTTCAGTTCTGTTTCGTCTCTCTTAGTGTTTTGATTTACAACTCGGATTGATTAAACTTGCAAATCTTTTTGGTCATGGTAAATATAATTTGTTTGATGACTACGCGGACGGATGAACAACGTGCAGTTCATTGCAACTTTCAAATTATGATTTGTAAACAAACCCATCTGTTTAATTCTGTGAAATCCTAATCAATACGTCTTGATGCATCATCCGCAGGCTAAGCATAGCTTGTACTTGTACATGTAGCATCGGCTTTCGAACTGATTAAGATATTCCTGCTAACATCAGTCCAACTTATTTGAGAAACATGAATGAAAATTGGGAATTTTTAAATCACAGCTTAAGATATTTCTTTTTAAAAGGTGTTATTTTTAACTTTTCAACTACTGGTAACTGGTTTACTTTTTATGCGGTTTCTGATATTTTGTAAAGAGGTTTGAGATTTTAATGTACATTTTGTTTTTGTAAAACGCTATATTAAGAATAAATTATTATAATTATTATTCAATTTATGCATTAATTGGTTGTAAATACGCCATAGCCATGGCCAAATTTAAGTTTTTCCTCCCCATAATTTTGAATTATTGCTAACTAGTAGTAACTACATGTCTAGCAGAAAAATCTGTGTTTTCATGGATAGGCAGGATATTTCAGTTTGTGTACATGTATACATATACATGCACATGTACATGTACATGTACCTACTGTACATGTATAAATGTAGCCTTGTATAGAATGGTGATCATCAACACAAAAGACCATGCATATAGGGTGGAGTTAGAGGCAATAGTTTTGTATGGCATGGATATTGAACCTTTTGTGCATTCAGTGAACCTAAAATAAGATCAGTAACATATCGTAGCAGTTTTCACAAAGTGGCAAATTTTGTGTACTGAGGGAACAGGAAATTTGTCTCTTCGTGAAAATTGTAACGATATGTTGATGTAATTAAAAACCTGTGTTGTAGCACATCTCCCATTGTTCCCTCTTTCATTCATAAGATGAGACATCTATTTTCATACGAGCCATTATTTTTGACCACGTAATACCAGCTGACCGGTCAATCCAACCGGAAGGGCTAAGCCAACCCCAGGCGTGGCATTACCATCTGGGTACCCACAACACGTCCAAGTGACCCTCCTTACGCATCCATAACACACTCCGTAACGACCCGCCCAACACCTGCCTCCTACCATACCCGTAATCCTCGGTGCATCCATGCGAGGAGAGATTCATCACGCCGTAGTTGGCAGCCGCGCCGCAATGCACGACCCGAGTTAACCCAGTCCAACGAAAAATAATCACCAAACCAGGGGAAAATAGTAAAAAGCCTTCTTCGTTCCTCGCTTCTGGGTTTCGTTATAATTGCTTAGGGAGTTTTATAATTACCCGGGCATGACGCTAGGCTTTTACTTCTTAATTACAGAGTGGGATGGGGTTTCATTTGTTGATCACTCAATGATTAATTGGATAAGTGGACTGGGTTTACACCCACAGCTGGAGTGTAAGTATGTTTAATTATCTGCCAACACAGCTAAGACTTAATTGGAGGGATAAAATTTGCACCTAAACCTGTGAGTGCAAAACATTTCATGTCATATTTTATACACAAAAGCTAGCTACATGTAGCCTACTGTAGTTTGTGGTGACTAAACATAAGAATGTTAGCATAGTGTTGTCACATTGTTCAATATTGATAAATATATTCAAGATAGTCATGCAGCTCGGGTGACAGATATTTTCTTTGAAAATTGAAATGAATTCCATATAATTAAAATTCCTCTTTATTTTGTGCCAATCTTTTTTTAAAAATAATTTGTGATTTGTAAAATGCATGTTTTACAAAACGTTTGTGCACTTTCAATTCGAATTCAGTTGACCAAACTGTACTAAACTGTACATCACCTGATATGGGTATGTTGCTGAAGGGACCGATTGTTGAGGTACAATGTATCAGATACCATAAGAAAGATGACACAATCACCACCAGACTCAAATGTTGGTAGATGAAGCACATGGACAGTAACAAGCTTAGTGACAGTACATGCATTTATCTGGTCTGTGTACCAGCCACCATTCAAATTAAACTCTTACTGAATTTGTGAGGCATTTGAAAATTTTGGTAGAATTTTTTCCATTCAACTTTCTACATCTGAAACACCCTAGCTGCTCAAGCCAAGATCTACAGATACAAAATGTATCTACACTTTTGGGCTTACAAGCTGATGTACCGCGGTACCCGATCATGATCTGCTAGGGCGTAGGCCCTATTTGTGTTGGGTTTGAAATGTGGGGAGGAGTAATGTCAAATGGGTTGAAACACTTTTGGGCTTTTCACACTATCCAAAATTTCCAAAGTCCAACACAGACATTTCGGGAATCCTTTTCACAACTACAGCAAGAATCAAACATGGCTTGGGCTACCGGTACACGGGTCCGATACTCTACACAGGTAAAATCCAATCCAGGTTGGGACCATGGTTTGAGAGGCTCTACCCGGGTAGAAAATCCAGAATCTACAGCCGTCCAATGAACACACCATCGTACTTTAGTGTGAACGGTATGCCTTGCCTTCTAGTGTTCGATGGTGACCGATTCCACTTGCAGTGTCCTGTGTTGATTTTAACATGGACCATTGTAAATGGTCCGTGATTTTAACTGGGGAAGGCGAGATGCTATAGTATGAAAAGGCTATGGGCTCCATGCACAAGTACGGCAAGAAAAGGAGAGTTGGGGGAGACCTAGGCTGGTTCCCGATCTATCCACTGCGTATTTCAAATGTATCCAAAGTTATTGGAGCCGGGGATTAGTCTCGGAGACCATCTCAAGTTGAATTCAAACGTATTCGCGCACCGATGACGCCTGATGCTCACGCGAAGATGCGGTGGCTATAGCTTTTGCACATTCAGGAAGTCGTGGGTACTTCGCGCGCGAACCAGTACAGTACAGTATGCGCACACTGTGTGTCCCGTCCACGGAGCTCTCAAAAGAGGTAAAAACACGCTCTCTTTTGTTGGCGCACGGAGCCCATAGAGTCCTCTACTTTTAAGTTGATAAAATGACTTGAATTCTTACAATACTGGCTGGCAGTTTAGCTCTAGTTTCTTGGAAATGTCTGGCACTTTTCCTCTACCAATGTCTTTTTCAATCAGGAAAAGTCCTTGTAAATAACTCCCACCTCTCAGCACTGTCAGTCGTCACCTTTTATAACCAAACATTAGATCCACCAATGTTTGTATTAAACTCAACAAGTCCCAAGGTTGGCCCTGGTCCAACAATGAGAGGTTCTCTCAGCCAATAATAACAAAGCTAGACTTGATTCTTCAATCTCCATGGCTCAAAAGATTCCTTCTGGATCCTGATGTAAATGTCACCTCAGTGTTTTTAGCTTGTCTGTATTTGAGGAGCTTAGGCAAGTAACGAGGTCACATGAAAATAAAAATCTCCACAATGAAGAGAAGTCTGACATGTTTTGCTTTCTTCCGGAGTTCGTGTTTAAATCAAGGTTGGATAAATCTAACTAACATTCATTCATTGTGAGGGTTACAACAACAATGGAACGAAATCTACCAAGGAAATGGACACAATTGGACCGGGATTATAAAACATTTAGACTCACATAAGATTGTTGTTGTAGGCGTCTTTTTCAGTCTATTAGTTATGATAGGTTTATTATGGAGGGGATTTATTCTTAGCCTGGGGTCAAACTGCACTGAATAAAAAGCAAAAGGACAAACATCAACCTCAGTACAACCTACTTAGATCAATTGATGTATCATTCTGGGGCATGAGTAAGCTTGGAACTTTTTACTCTTTTCATTAATAAAAAAAAAATAGACAATGGAGACAGAGCGAGACTTTTTGGACAGAATATTTGAAATGAAAAAAAAAAATCATCAATGGACTACAGGTTTCTCTTTATCAGGTGTTGAACAAGAACATAAAGTAGATTCAAGGTTTAAATGTTAAATTTACCATACAGCAAGTATGTGCACCCTGTCCATTTTCATTCATAATGCTCCAAGTACTTTGAAAGGATAAGCACTTTGCCAACAAAAACTAAGCCCTGGGGAAAAATAAATACCACAAACCAACCAACAAGACAAACAAATACAAAACCTCCACATTCAAGGAATTTGAGACTTTAACATAAAGTGCCAATTATTACTGAAGTGTGAAATAGACCCTCCCCAACTGGAAATGAAAAAAGAAACAGAAAACCAGTCTGGTTATAAAGGAATTCACACTTCCCAAGGTTCATTGGTTAGAACAATGCCCCCCTGATAGGCAGGTGATAATTAATCCATGTCAACACCTGTTGAGTTGTGGGTTGCAGGTTTGGCTCCTAATTACCCCAGGAAATGAGGCTGGCCCTCTCTGCTTTGGGTCCCTGGTCCAGCTCTAGTAACTGGCGGAGGCACTGGGAGAATTTACAGGGGCAATCAATCAGGATTTTCTTTTACTCCATAAATCCAGAGTGATAAATTCTCACATGTCAAGCTGGATGTGGAAAAGTGAGTTATGATTTTGCGAACTGTTCTGGCAAAAAAAAAAAGAATATAGAGCAAGGAAAGGGGACAAGTATTCAGGTCAAAATAGTAAGGATTCTGGAACAAATTGATACATTTTCTCACAAAGGAAAAGGTATTCAAAAAAATCTGCCCCTCTAAATTAAATTAGAAACTTGTAAACTAAAAACTATCATGTATGTATCAAAGAAGCTTTGCTCAATGGAAGTACAACATACTTCCTTTCAAAACCCACAAATCACAGCCTTTCAGTTTAAACATGACAATCTTTTTAAATTTGAAAAACATGAACCAGGGTACGGGAATGAAAACAGCTGAACTAGAAACTAATCCTTAAGAAATAACAAATACACACTACTGTTAAAAAATGTACTTGAAGTCCAATTACATTGTATTAAAAATTCGGCTCTTTTGATTTTTACAAATAAAAAAAATAATTCACATAGATTGTACAACTGTATAATGAAGCCAGTTGCTACTCAAACAGCGATGCTTACTACGAGAAGTATTGATCCTGTATTCAGGCTATAAATCACAGATCAAGCGAGGAAGAGACAGGAAGTACTTACCTGAACTTGGCATTGTGTCAAGACAGATCCAGACTTTTGGTTGCCCCTCCACTTAGCACCCAGACTCTCCTCCAAGTATTGCTGTGCCTGGATAGCTACTGGCACTGAAGCAGGAAGACGACTAGCTGCCGGCAAGGTGCTTTTGGCTTGACGGGAGGAGCGACCATGCCCTGATCCATTCCCATGAGAGTGCTGCGAGTAGAGGTAGCGTTGTAAGGATGCCAGGTCCCGAGATCCGACTAGAGCGGGGAGGTTACTCAGGGAGGCAGCCTCACTCTGAGACTGAGCCTCCTCCAGAGATTGCACCATGGCTACTGCTTCGTGCTTGAGTTGCTTCAGCTGGGTGGAGCAGACTTCACATTGGCTGCCGTTCCAGGCTTCATGGAGTGACTTGGGGATGTGTAGTCTGTCATACAGAGCAGAAGAATCCTGCATGGAAAGGATCAAAAGGACAAAGTTTGAGACCAACAGAATAGAAGTTTTTCCCCCTCAACTCCCACTCCTTCCTTGGCCCTGTAGTTCCTTTTCAAGAAAACCTGTTTCAGTTGTCAAAAACAAAGTTAGTTATTACAAAATGTCATCCACTCCTTGTTGCCTCACATTATCCAGACAACAGTAGCTGGGACAAAATCGCTGACTTGAAGAGCTACATTAATCACAAACTTACAAGGAGGATTTCACAAGTTTTACAATCCAGATACTGTGGGTTCCATCCAGAGACTTTGGAAGCAAACGGTCTTATTTTATGTATTGTTAGTGCTTGCATGAGCACAAGATCAAATTAATTTGTTTCATGTACTGGACGTACATCTGGTTGCAGCATTGTTTGATTGGCGAAAAAATCACCACAACCAAGTCAGGTGTACATGTATGACCAGTCCATAATACTTAATGTCTCATGGATAAAGTAAAAAGTACGCTTTGGTAATAACACAGGTTCAGGATGTTGTGGTGGGGTTCCAAAGATCAAACACAAACCATGCAACCTGCCAATGCATATATACTTGCAGCTTGGTGATCCGACCAGCAAACACATGCATGTTTTCCTGCAGTTGTTGTGGTCATTACCTGTTTGTAAGGGGACCACTTGTCAATCAGACTCCAACCAATGTTTATCTAATCAGCATTCAGCAATTATCTCAAGTTTGAGGGACATTCCTTGAGGAGCTGGTTCAGGTATTCATAACTGTTATCAAACTGTTTCGTAGCATCTGAAAGCTCCAATCAAAACCACAAAACCTATAAGTATGATCAATTGACTGTTGTGGTGGTGGTGGTTGGAAAGTTGGGGTAACTATCGGGCAACAGTGTTACAACTTTGAAACCACCGTTTGTTGATTGTTGTGGTATTTTGTCTGAATAGAAGAGGAATCATCAATATACCTAAACAGTAAATCATAGAGTGTAACTTAAATAATCCAAACACAACTTAATACGTTCTATTCTATGAAGAGCAAGGTTTTTGCTGTTATGCACTCTGATCTGTCACAGATTTCAGAAAGAGACAAATTGCTTGTCTCTCACCACACACAATTTGTCTAGACATCTTGTTGACACTTTGTTCCGACATGTCCGAAGGTACAAATGGTGTCATATAAGCTGACTTTACAAATGCATGTACACGTACAGTGTATTTCTCACTTGTAAACAAAACCCTATTTCCATACACAAATATAGGAAGACTATGTTCCATCCGTACCAAAAACTTACAAGAAGTCATCACACGAAATAATTCAAGTCAAAAATCAAAGAATAGACAAATATGATTTCACATACCCGAGGTCTAGATTTAGCATCAGATGGCAAGTTATGGTTATGGTAACCGGCAGATTTACTATTCTTGTATGAAAACATTTTCCACTGATATCACAAGTATCCAAAGGAAGGGAGTTGGAGAAGTCCACACAACTGTCTTCTAGATTGCTCTGTGGTGTATATACTGTAGCACATCATTCAGTTTGGACATTGTAACCAAACTTCACTGGAGACAAAACTGAAGACTTTACACTCTGAAGGGCTCTCTTGCACATGGTATGGCTCTCTGTGTTGGACACTAACACCTAAGGGCATAGGTGAAAGCACAGCCTTTTGTGACCAGCAAAGTAAACAAAGTGTTTGGCTAAACAATTAGCCTGATTAGGGTAGCAGTGACCATGGATTGACCAGAAGGGACCATGGACTGACTGACCAGCCCATGTGCTGCCTGTGAGGTCATGAACACCAGGTCTAAAGGTCACTGGAGTTTTGCCTGAGGTTATTGGGACCCCACATTTCTGAGAAAATTAATATAACAAGGAAGTTTGCTTGAGTAATAAAATACAACATGGTGTATTTTACACTTGCGACATTTCTTTTTGCTTGATCTGACAATATTTGAATTAAAAAAAATTAAATCATGCAGTGTGGAAACAATGATAATTTTATATTCTGGGTTTCAAAGATCTAGTTTGCACACACACTTGGAAAAAACAACATAATAATTACAAAAAAAATAATACTAATATACCTATCTTGATAAAAAAAAGTTCTTTGTGCTATAGGCCTAAGCTTTGCCAAAACCTTTTGTCCACAACTCACAAAGAGGTCTGTATGAACATTCCTCCATGGTATGAAGAAAACTGAATCTTGAGCAAGTATAAAGAGCGATGTTTTACAAACGAGTGGTCTTATTTTATTAAATTATCTTGGAAGGGGAAAAAAAAATTGGGAACAATACAAAACAGTGTCTCAGTGTCTGCACACAAGTGTTGGCAGATCTCCTCAGCAAAAAGTCAGGCAAATGTAGGTTGATAGTTCTATCAAGAAGTCAAATTGGCCACCAAATAGCTTTCCAAATTTCACACCTGCTGGATATTGCCACTAAAAATTGGGTCAAACTGTTGACCCTGTTGGGAGCCCTGTGTCCAGGACACCCCAAATCTAGGGCAATGGAGAGCATTGTGATACCCCCAGTTATGTATCATTAGAAAAACACGTGTTTCATGTTGGAGTGTGGTACTTCCAGAACATCTGGTTATGACAGTCAAAGGATTTTGATTGGCAGTTCGTCCGGATGTATTACTAGGAACAATACTGTCTGTTGTTTGAGGGAGGAATTATGCGAGTTCTGATTGGCTGTGACCTGATGGCACAGGTGGAATTGGCCAATCAAATACCAGGTGTCATTATTGGGGACAAATGTTGCAATGCTTAGAACTGATTAGCGTCAAGAGCTGTTAGCAATTTTGGTTTCTAGATTGGTAATTTCTTTATAGAGGGTACATGCCCCATTTTGTCTGGCATTAATACATTTCAATTTAGTGATTTGGAAATTAATCATGTCATATTGGTTTGATTTGATTCCAACAATTACCCTTTATATTAACAATTTCCAACACAAATGGAAATGTACTTGTATACATGTACAGTATTATTCACAGCGAATTTATAACTCATGTGCGCTCTAACAGAAACAGGTTTTTTAATTCAGTTTGTCAACCTTCATGTTAAACAAAAATTACATGGTTTCAACCCAGAGGGCCATTGAACTAGATAAGGGATTTTGCAAACATCATTATTGTACATGTTCCTCTACACATGTGATGAATCTTTCTAAAAAGCCATACTCTGTTCATCTTTCCCATTACACTCAACATTGTCGCAACAACACGCTGCCTTTCTGAGCAAAGTAATAGCAAACATCAAATACATTCAAATTCTTCTCTTGATGAGCATACATGTAAATTAACATTCCTCTGAACAAGTCTGGCAAATGCAATTAGCAGCAGTGTCAGTGCTTATCTTGGATAAAAGGTCATCAAATAAAATGACAAGAAAACACCTGACGCCCTGTTGAAGTATACACGTTGGTATCCATACAGTTACCCCCCCCCCCCCCCCATTTGAAATTAAGCAATCAATAGACAGAGTAATCTTTTCTGCACAAAAGAGTGCCAAAAACTTGATAAATAGTAAAGTCTTGTGGAATTCACACAGACATTGGAAACATGTTCTGGCAAAGGTTTTTCAAACATAACTATCAAGTAAAAGTTTTTAAAAAGGCGACAAACATGTCAGTGTTTTTCAATGAAGGATTTTGTAACCCAACCGGTTTTGAATGTGGTCCCTTGTTAAAAAATATAAAACACTACCGGTATGTATGGATACATCCAACAGGGGAAAAAATGTCTTCAGATTGTTTTTATTTATCTTACTGGACTCCTTTGAGGGTGCAGATCTGTAACCAGGCCCAGTATTCTAATACCAAAGTACCGGTAGCAGAGATCTCAAGAGTTTGGTAAGGATCCACCGCAAGATTTTGAATCATTTGTACATGATTCAATGTGAAACTACAGCTGTTAATTCATATTATAAATCCACAGAACCGCCTGTTTCTTCTGCTCATTGGAAGCCAGTCCAGTGAAACAGCAGTTTTTCCCCCCAACGGGAAATCACGAATGAAAACTCTAAAGCCTTGTACATAAGATATATTTTAGACTTATCTAATGTCGACCGCACGAACAGGTGCATTTCCAACTTCAAACACTCAGCAGTCAACTCAAATGAGATACTGGTGTCTCAATAATCATAATAATTTTAATCAATTAAAAAACTTCAGACACCTTACACTGCAAAGAAATTTCTTACATAATCCACCACTGGTTACACATTCTTTTTGTGTCACAAATGTGTCGCGACTTATTTCTCATCTCAGTGTTTCTACAATTTTATGGGTAAAAAATTGCAGAGATCAAGGTTTTGAAGAAGAGAACTCGAGGGCCTTTGGTTCAATAACCAGCTTTTCTTTAAGTAATGACAACAAAATACAAGGCAGGGTCATAACCAGGGCTAAAACCTTGGTAAAAAAAATGCAGCGCTGCAATTTCAATGTCAAAATTATCTCCCGAAAAATCATAACAGCCGACCACATCATAACCGGTAATAACACTGTGATAATGATCAATCAACGTGTGCTACAGTGGATGGTAGAGTCAGATGCTATTTTTAGACAAGCCATTGGAGTGACAACTCTGTTTGCTTTATCTGATTGGATTGGCAAGTTTGGAGAACTGTGGTTGTTAGCATGGTCCCTTCTTTTCTTATCAGTCCCTGTGTGTGTGTGAGTTCACACTTTAGTCAAGTCTAATTAGTCAGGGAACCAGACTGGATTAATCAGAAGTGACAGGATTATTGGGTTGATTGACAACTTTGACATCTGCTGCTGGGATGTGTGACAGGACTGTGTCAGTCAGGAACAAGTCTTGGGCAGCATCAACTGAAACTAAAGAGAGGACCAGAGTATAGAAGGAAACAACTGTTAAAGCTGCAAGCATATGGCAAGGTCTTCTGTCGATGATGAAAGATCTATTTGAAAGCACCAATGATTTCAAAATCCACGTGAAAGCGTAATTATTTTTTTTCAATATACAGGAGAAATGGACAGAAAATCATATCCTTAGATTAATCAGGTTTTTGTTTGTCCGAACTAAGTTATTTGTAAGTGTTTCAAGGTGCAATACCGTAGCTCATATCATTTTAATGTCCCACACCTAATTGTCCAAAAGTTCATCCCCACTTGGTTTTTTTTTTAGCGTCCCACACCCGATTGTCCGAAAATTCATTCCCACTTCTTCCTTTTTTTGCTTTTGCAAAGATATCACTGAAAAGATCACGAGATCTATCAACACCAAGTTTTCAATCTTCAATAATTCAATCAATCCCTGCCAAGCATGATTAAAAATTTTGATTAAACTTCTGATTTTAATGATGATTATGGAAATAAATGAATGAATGTGTCATCGGGAAATGAAATTAAGAAAAGTGCAAGATGAATTTGCATCATGGTCAATCTTGCTAAGTAACGAGTCTTGCTGCCGCAGTTGGTCATCACTGCAGCCCGCCCGAGAGATCTCCATCTGAAAGATGTTATCATGCTCGGCACTCTGCGCTGGTATGAGGTCATCACTTAGTCACACACAAAGGACCGACTGCTTGACCAAAGCACTGGCCGCTGAAATAAATGGCCTCCACTAATTGACCAGGAAAGAATCACAGAGAAAATGCAATCTGGCTGATATCACCGTAGGAAAAATGAAAGTCTGTGCAGAAAATAAACAAATAATGAAGCAGACAAGCATAACATTAACAATGACTTGGTCACAATGACTTGGGCAAATCATAAATACGTATCAGCAAGTTCCGGTTCACACTAAGGATACTGAAGGGTTGGTACACCTATACTAGCAAGAAATAACATTTAAAAAAAAGTTCTTTGTTTCTTGACCAACACATACACACATGTACTTGTACTCATTGCCAAAATAAGAAAGTCATCTTAGTATGCACCTTTTCCCCTCTACTTTTTTTCCCCTATGCATTTGGGAACAGATGCAGCAAATGAGGTTACGGACAAGAGCTATTTACCGAGCTAAAATTATTGTTTGGTAAAATGGGACACGGACATTTCACTGCCATGACTGCTGTTTTGTTTCCCATGTTTGGTTTTGACTGCAGTTGGAAATCAATATTGTAACAGAAAGCTCACCACTCCATGTAAAAATCTAATGCTTATCAGTGGATTCACAAAAAAAGAAAATCGTTCAACAGTGGCCTACACAATGCATCTCACAAATACTGCCTGAGCTGTCGGAAACGCACAGACTCAAGGCATTGTTGGAGTCTGTAGTTACAAGCACTGTAGCAAATCATTTCCGAGCAACTGCATCTCAAGTAACCGCAAATGGTCAAGTTACACGGTCCATCTATTGACATAAATCCTCTTAGACTGAACTTGATAACATGTAGATGCCATTATGACCGACGAGCACAATTCTCCGCGATGTCCCACACAGTCAATGTTGACCCGCCGCCTAACCCGTGTAAATGTCCGTGATTTTGTTTCAACCGGTGTGTACCCTCTGCCATCCGACCGCTTTTTTTTCCCCTTGCATCCGAAAGTAAATGATTGTTCTCACCGTCGGTACACACAAATGCACCGTGACTAATCCGGGGGGAACCTCTTGTGGAAGCAGAAATGCTACACTTCTGTCGGCAGACGAT